ATCCATCCATCCATCCATCCATCCATCCATCCATCCATCCATCTTCTGTCATGCTTATCCCAAGCATGATGGGAAGGAAACTGTTTTCAAACTTGGAAAACAAAGTCCAGTGGTTTGTTTTTAACAGTTTTTTAAATACATGTATATTACATGTACATCATCAATTCATCAATTTAGCACTTTTGGCAACTCATCAGATAGTGTGTGTGTGTGTGTGTGTTTGTGTGTTGGGTATTTTATCTTAAACGACAGTAATCTACTGATTCTACTGAAACAGCAAGTTATTATTTTTATTTTATAACTCTTAACCACCCAAAAAATGAGAAAATCATTGTTGTTCGATGCTATAGCTCATGTATTGTTTATATTTCGACTGGTCTAACTGGGGAGTAGCAATATGGCGACTGGTGACTTCTTAGCAATGTGTACTATTATCGGCCTATCGAATATCCATGGAATAAATACAGAGAAGTGGCCAAAGCCACTTCTCTGTATCGAGTAGCAATACCTGAAATGCTATTGCTACTCGAGCTGGTTTGTTCAGTAGGGTAACTTACGAAATGAGTCGATAATAAATCAGTTACTAATATGTTCATGTTTCTTTTTTTTTCTATAACTTTTAAAAGTGTAAGTAACAGTTAGAATCATTCTTCACAAGAAACAGCTGAGTGGATTATTGTTGCCAAGAACCCGCAGCTTGGCTGGATTTTTTTACTCAGGCTTTTGTCTTTTTCTCATCTTAGGTTGGAACTAACATTGTGGAGTAGTTGGAGAAAGCAGAGTCCAGGACACACCCATTTATTTTGCTGCTTGAAAATAGACTTCATTGGTATTAGGCTTTCATTGTGATCTTGGGAAAAACTATTTAGGATGAGATGGTTCTCTCTGCTGTTGTTTTTTTTAGTGTTAAGTGTTTAGTGTTAAGTTAAGTTTTTTAGTGTGTAGACAGTTAGTGGTGTCAGTTCATGGTTTCTTCATCTCCTTGAGGCTCCAGTATAGCTTTGATTTTTATTTTATTTTATTTAAAATTAATTGCCTTCATTAATTTCTTTGGCTAAATAATCTACCCTGAAGGTAGATAAAAGCTAGTAAAAGAGTTCAAATCGGTGCAGGTGACTCAATATAAAATAACTTATGTGAACTTTCAAATAGCAGCCATTGCAAGATGTGTTTGTAAAATTTTAGGTAATTATGTTTTTTCTTTCCAAATTAATGAGAAAAAAACTAAACAAACTACATGTGTAGTTTTTGATTGCCAAAAAAGGACTTTAAAACTGAAAGTTCTGTCCTCTTCTGCTTACAATGTATTCTCCAGTAGGTCGTTAGCATGCCTTAGATAGAGAATACAATTGATTAGGGATATAATCCCTAATTAATTGCTTAAAAAAATCTATTTTCTACTTCATTTTCTTCTGTCATTCTGGTTATTAATTTCTTCGTCATGCTATTTTCATCCATGTTTAATTCGATAGAGAAGGAAGACATAATGTCAGGAAAAATTAGCCCAAGAATCTCGTTGTTACTCATTTCATACTTGGGCACGCACAATTTGATCACCAGTGAAAGCCTGTGCCGACTGTAATAATAAACGTTTACTCAACTGCCACATGCTGGAATGTGATCTGTCTGTCTGTCTGTCTGTCTGTCTGTCTGTCCTTTTAAAATTTTCTTTTTCTATAGATGTATTTTTGATATAAAAGCATTAAACTTGATGTTTTAAATTTTCTCATGTTTAGACCCAAAAAAATCCACAGCTTTCAATATGTCAGGATACGTGATGGGATAGGAAACGATAGGACAGCAGATTTAGAGTTCATTCAGGTCTGTCATGCTTTCTTATCTAGCCTCAGGGTGCTGTAGCCTACAGCTGAAATGCGAAATGAGCCCCCGACGTCTGCTACTCTTGCCCTTTTCCACTTCAACACCTCCATCTGGATTTTGTTAAACTTGTAATCCTTGAGTCAAACAGGAATTGCCTGAAATAATATGACTGTGTTTTGTTTTTTTCATATGATGCTGCAGAAGGCCTTTTGCACTTCTCTTACATTTTTGTTCTAAAAGATGGATTTTTATTTTCCACTGAGAAGCATCAGAGAAGTTTAGAAAATATTGAAATTTAGATTTCTTGACTTCTTTTCTAACTTTCTATGTGACCTCAATGTTGGGATGATTTGTACAAATTTCCTCCGACAGCCGCACACTTCAGATTTCTCATGCATATTTTAACGGGCTCACAAAAGATGATTTACACAGCAGTCTGTTAAAATGACATATCGTGTCATAGAACTGTGCCTGAACATCCTTCCCAACTTTTAATCTTCTGGGGAAAACGACTGAATCGCTGTCAAACATTGTTTTGATTCCCTACCTTTCACAGTTATGGTCTAAACTTTAAAATAATAACTTTAAAATAAATAATTTTTTTGGTCTTTTCAATTACTAATCAAGCCATACCGAGCTGTCATTTATTTTGCGCACAACACAAACTGTATTAAGAAAAATCCTGATACATGTCACTTTGAGCTGCCAAATCTGAAGTTTAGAGATGTCACTGTGGATTCTAAGCAATAGCTGACATTTACATTAAAGAATGATGCTTTATATAGTAATGTTTTATTCAAATCCCGAACCTCAACTCCCACCCACTATTGTAAGGTCTTTGTTGCTGCCCTAGATTACATTGTAAGTGATTCAACAAACAACCTGGGGCATTTATGAATCTTTTTAATCTGAAGCATAAGTTGCACTCAGAGAACTGT